ACAACACTAGAGAGGTGAGTTAGAGCTCCAAGAGGTGTGTTGTCGAGATTGAGGATCCCCTCAGTCTCGGCTCCTATATATACTACAAGTTAGGAAGCTTCTCAAGTAGCTTCCACAAACTAGGAAGCTTCTCAAGCAGCTTCCACAAGCTTGAAAACTTCTCAAGTAGCTTCTATAAACTACAAAGCTTCTCTAGAACCTTCTAGAATCTTCTACAACTTCCTAGTATATGTCCTTGACAAATAGATTAAAATATCAATAAATAATAATTAAATTATTTATTTTAACTCAAAATTTATATACTTTTAAAGTACTTAGTTCAAAATAAGCACAAAAAATTTAAAGAAGATGAAAATGACTAAAATGAAGATAAAATTTATAATCCGCTTAGGTATTAAATGATCTCTTTTTTCAACCTTGATGTAGATCTCCGAGCACTAATATCTCTTGATTTTACTTTCTAATTTCTCTCAAAATTTATAAAGTTATTGAAAATAAAATTTTCTACTTGTGTAGAAAATTTTATTTCAATGCAAGTCGTAGAGTGTTGCAAATCTTAAAATCTTTTCATAGTCCTCTAAATTCTAATTCTTGAGATTCCAATTTACTTAAATTTTAATAAAATTTAAGTAAACTACTTAATCAAGCTCAAATATATGATATAAATTTAATATAACTATGATTATATAACTACAAAATTTTATTTGTCAAATAACTACGAATCTTATAAAATTCTTCAAAGTATAAATCCTATATATTTTTTAAAAAAACTAATATCACTTTAAAACAACTATGATTTTACAAAACCTTTAAAAATTCATTAAAAAAATAAATTAATCAAAATTATTTCTTAAAGAATATTGCTTTAATTTTCTTTCAAACCCTATTCTTTAATCTACAAAAGAAAAATTTAATCATTGCCATAGATGCATGGTTTTATGCCTTAAAATATAATTTCAATTGTGATTCACAATTAATCCTCTTTGGATATCAATTTCTAAATTTTCAAGGGAATTTTTTCTACAAATTAATATTAAATTTTTCCATAAGATGTCTATATCATTTATTTTTTTTAATTTACCTTATTTTGATTTTTTTTAAGATCGTACAAAGTAAATAGAAGCTTATTTTATAAAAGATAATATTAGTACTTATCAACTTTTTTTCTTCCTTGATTATTATCTATATTTATAAAATAAATTTATAAAATATTTTTAATTAAGATCTTCTATAATAGATTTTTTTATTTTTTTATTTTTTTATTTTTTTACCTAATAGCCATGTTACTATATAATATCAATTTGACAAATCCTTATTTGATTTTAGACTACCTCAACTCATCAAACCTTTATTCAATAACTTCTTTCAATATCCACCAAATTTAAACCAATACAATCTAAATTTATATACATGTGTAACTTCATGTCACTCCAATATTTAGTATTTTGTAATTTTTTGTGAATGTTGTCATGAATGGAGAACATTGTGACTTATTTATGCATTCTACAATGAACTCCATCTTCCCTGTCTTAGCTTTTTTGTCAAGTTTGCAAAGATTGGTTGTATTTGATGGAGGATATTTAACCACCCTTCAAATTATATTATAAAACAACCAAATAAGGATTAAGCTCTTTTTTATTTTAAGTCAAGAAGAGCATTGTTAACTAATGTATAATGGTTTAATTTTTATAAATAAAAGAAGATCAGACTTGATACAAAAGGTATCAAAAACCTATATCTTAGATGATAAATAAATAAATAAATAAATTATATATGTAAATCAAAAGGACTATCAAACATCAAGTTATTAAATTATTAAAATCAAAGTATATTAATAAATACCTAGAGATACATCTAAATAAAAATATTAATATAATTAAAGATATAAATTTTATGTTTTTATAATTCGAATAAAATAAATATTTTTCATAAAAACAAATAAGAACTAAAGAATTTATTTATAAAGAATATGGTCCTAACATCTCCAAAAATAAAATAAAAAGTAATTATTAAGGAAGTACTCAAACATGTAGATCATATCTACTAACAAGATCAACCTTTTAGTGGGTGTTAATATAAAATAAGGTATCAACAACTATTCAGAGGATAATAGAATAATAATTTTTTTATTTTATAAAAACTTGTAAATATGATTTTTTTAATATTCTATTAATAATGCCTAAAATCATGTGTTTTGTGGTTTTAAGTAAGTAGAAAAAACTAACTGTAAAAAATACCTATATAGACCAATATAATTGATTTGAGCAAGAAAATAAGCATATTGTTTGCAAATTGAAGAAATTATTGTGTAATCTTAGAAAATCATCAAGAGCATAATAAGAATCTATTGATGCTTAATTTGTGAATAAATCATTTATAAGGATTAAAAATATATATTTGTTGCATGTGATATAATTAACAAAATTCTTATTAGTTGCAAATTTCTATGTAGATGATTTGATGAACGTAACAAATAATACAAAAAAAAAAAAAAAAAAAAAAAAAAAAAAATACAAAATAGAATAGATTAAAATCAAATTTAAAAATTAATTTGAGATATATAACTTTGTATTAAGCTAAAATTATTATTCTAAAGTTCAATTTGTGAGAAATTGTCCTAAATCTAATATTCAAATTTACTAATAGAAATACATTAAATAAGTACTCAAATGCTTTAATATAGTAGGTAGTAATTTAATTTCTACTTCTTTTTAAGAAAATATCAATTTGATGAAGTTTTTAAGCAAAGAATTTGATCAAGTTCATTAAATTTTATAACTTCATATAATTTAGTATTGGGATAAATAATCAACATATACAAGGAAAAAAATCAACTTAAGATAGCTACAAACAAAAAAAAAAACTTTAAAAAATAAATATTAATGTTTTAAACATAACTTTTCAATTTCTAGAAATCAATAGAATCAATTAGATAAGAGTCATCTATTTGAAAAATCTAATTAAAAAATGACTTACCGATTTTTACGTTAATATTGTATCTTCATGTTACTTTCAAGAATCGATACAATACTAGTTTTCCTTCACTAGTTTTTCAGTACAAGATTCTTCCATGTTCATGCACTCCGGAGAATCAGCCATGGAGGTGACGATGTTGTCAAGGTGAAATAAACCACTTGCATGATCGTCACAAAATCAGTATCTAGTTTCCTTGTGTGGTTCCCGACTTGTGGCCTGAATGTCAACCTTCCAGTTTCAGCAAACAGTCAAAAGATTAAACAAAGTTCATAAATCTTCACAGTGAAGGACTGATTATGCGGTGAAAGTCGCCGGAGCATCTCTGCATGTACCCAGGTGGGCAAGCTAACACTTTGAATTGTATACGTGTTCCAGGGCAACGATCGGAGTGTTGTGGAGACCTTGTGGAGCTTTAGGGATCGGCAGAGCGGTAGCACTGCAGCTTGATGAATCTTCGTCGGTTTGGTTCGAGCTCCTGCGCCGCAGAGGATCACCATAGCATGCGAAAGCCGGATGAAGGCGATGTTTAGTTTGACCTGGTTCTGACGGTCCACATCTAGAAATTTATGCTGTGAGCCAGCCCTTCGATGGCATGAGATCCACGCCGATCTGTTCACGTTTGTCTTTGTGCTGAAGCCGACTCCACCTGTCAGTTTCTTGGGTTCGCACCATACCACACTTTCTGCTCACATGCAATCATTCATATGAATGCGAACAGATGAGTGTTGGAAAAGCCGAACCCGGGTTCAATAATTGAATAGAAGGATGATCGAAGCGTGCAAGCTGGCAAAAAAGGAAAGTCCATCAGCCACGCAGCGGCATGAGATGGTCACAACTACGAAGCACACCGAACGATTCAGAGGCGCTGCACAACAAGAACTAAATTTGACTTTGGAGGCGCACGTACATTCTTCTTCAGCTGAGAAAAACCCGGCAGGTAATTACGACAATGTCATGACTGCAGATGGGTCGTCTGCAAAAACTTCCGTTGTTAACGATCCAAAAAGCTTAAAGCTACATACGATGAAACTGGAGAAAGGACGATACGAAATAGCTGTTTCTTTTGTGCCACAAAATAAATATATATATATATATATATATATATTAAAAGAAAGAAGAACGAAACTGGAGAAATTACAAGAGTGTTGGAGACTGGTAGTTTGAGTAACCACGGTCTGCTTTGCATTGAATGAAGAGTTCAGCACATGCGTATGGTGGTGGTGCCCGCATCCACTTCTGCATTGAATCTATGGAATCTGGAGGGCTGCTTTGAATCTGGACAGGTCAGGACTGAAGCTTGTTCCACCACAACGTTGGGGCAAAGGGTCCAAATCATGAAGATTCTGTCCTTCACCCCCATGCGTTCACCTTGCGTCGTCCATTCTTGCTGGTCATCGGCACCACTTCGGTGCTTGGTCCGAACGTTGACCATGTCGGATGAATTTGTATACATTTGTAACAAAAACAAATCACTCATAGCAAAGAGATTATTTTTTAATTTTTTTCTATGTCGCAAATACATAATGTAAAAATAAATTTGTAAATAAATAAACAAATAACCTTTTAAGCAACATCGATATCAGTAAGAACTTTCGTTTGCAACAAAAAAATCACATTTCTGGAATACATTCTGAAATTTTATCGGCTGATAAGAAAATAGTGATGTGAATCGAGCCAATGAATTACTGTAACTTTATGGTGAGGATTATAACTTCTTGTTTAATCATGTCTAAATTTATAACGTGACACCACCACATGGTACAAATACTTGGTGGCATAACCCCTCCATTATTTATTATTTCATAGTGATCCCAAGGCCACTCACATTGTGTAAGAAGTTCTATCGTACAATATTAATCTATGAACTAATTATCTATATCTTCGAAAAACGGATATATTGTAACTCCGTACTTTTAATTAAAAAGGAAAATTAAGGGCAGTTAGCGGAAACGATACAGCCACCAACTTTCCGTTATGAGAAATGCAAGGGGGAACTAGATAAAACCGAAAGAGTGAGAGACATGTCACCCAAGTTGCTCACCACGCGCACCCATCTCCCCTGCTCCATCTTCATCTTCCCGGTTGCCGCAGCGCTGCTCGACTGCAGACTGCTCCGATTGATTGAAACAGAGTGAGCTCGCACTGAACAATTCCTAGGAATCTCGCAGTGAGGCCGCGTCAGCTGAGGACGTCACTCATGGAAGTTCAGGGATGTGCGTTGCTAGCACCCGATGATCCAAGCCCGACGCCGCAGCTTGGATTTGTGTGGAGGTCTAGTCTGTAGCATCCTGAGGTTGGAGCGATACGCACGGACAGCAAAACTTCCTGGTCTTCGTTAGTTTGAATCTTGCCATGTCCATACCCACAGTATGCGCGCCTGGTATGAATTTTCCACGTCCTGGTATCACGGACCACGCAGCGGTATTTGGGGTTGAATCTCTCTGGAAAGCAGCTTTGCATGAACTTGCTCAGGTCGAAGATTCTGGTGCTCCGACCAGGAATTGCTGCCGGTTGGTGAGAGAAAGGGCGTCTTTGCTGGTAATTCAGCAGCTCTCGAGCTGCTTACCTGCGGCGACCTTCTTCCCTTGGATGGGATGCGCTGTCGGGGCACGTCTTACTTATGAGTTGTAGGTCATTGCTGCATGGAATTCGAGCTCAATTGGACGTGTTAGTTGCTGTCGAAGAGGTGACGAGGTGGATTAGAGATGAAGATTTTCGGGCAGGTGAATCAGATGAAGTTATTCAATTGCTGGATGAGTGGTATCAGCCAAGAGCAGGAGGCCATTCAGTGTACAGAGAACGCCGTTCTTACGCGATTCATCAACCAAGCTGCCAGGTATTATTTTGCTCCCTACTGCGTTACTTATGATTGAATACAGTTTGCGAGACGCAACTTCATGTGACGGTCTGGTGGCTATTTAATTGCTAATTTGTGAAGGTTGTTATGTTCATAACACATTTTTAGCGCCAGGTTTGAGGTTGTCGTTCCAAGTAACTTCATTCAGCCTGTACATGTTAAAAAATGAAAGATTCATCAAGGTGTTGCATTCGTATCTGGATTATTGAATGTCGGTATAACAGTGCGCATATGGCTGGTACTTTTCGTTTTAAACACAGCACTAGTCGATGCACATTAATGTTGCAATCTCCTTCGATATTCAGAATCTCGCCGCAGGAGGAGACCACAAACTTAAAACCAGCAGAAAACTGCAGGTAGCTTGGATTCCTTCTCTTGCAATGCTGAATTGCGAATCGAATCTAGAACTGATGCCTCGGAGTTCATATCTACACATTTAAGTCGCAGATGAATGTTTTTCAGTTAGTGAATTTTAGCCTGTAAATTGAGGAAAGTTACAATTTTACGGGCGACGCGAACGCTTAATTACGCTGTACCATTCTGGATTCGAAAGACGATCGCAGGACTAAAGGTCCACTTCCTGTGCATGACCTTTCAACCAGGCTGAGTGGTCGCATCTGACATGTCTTGTTCCTCCATGTGCAAAAGAATTATTAATTATTACTCTCGCAAATACAATAGAAAGTTGTAACAGCGTCCATTGCTAGTGCTGACCTCGTGAGCGTATGGAATTGGGATTGTGAGCAGTCACTTCTCCGCACAGCTTGAACTGAACGAGAAAGTTGAGAAAGAAAGAGCCTCCCGAGCCGTGAAGTTGTTGCAGGAGGGCATCTTATTCCCCGAGGACCAGGAGGATGATTATACCACAGGTCTCAAACATCATCGTCCATCGTCACCTCTGGGCTACACCTTGGACATCGATTACACCGCTGTGAAGGTAGTGGAGGCAGTGATCGACAAATGCAAACTGCTGAACTGTGTTTCAACACTGTGTAGGAAACAGTGCACTGAGTTTAGTACAACGCTGAAAAGCTTGCACGATATTCTCCTTGTCATACAGGTGAATTTCCACTGAAACATTATTAGGAACTCTCATTCATACACAGGATATAGTAATCGGTGTCAAGTCTTCATGATTCGTGTGGTCGTAATTATTGAAATATTTGCACAGTGAAGCGTCGAATTTTTGTGAGTTTATAACTACGACGCGCAGTGGCATTCATAAAGGAGTGCATTCAAGTGGCCATTTGCAGTTACGATTAAGAGATTTATAGAGAGGGCAATAATCTCTTTGAGGTCGTACTCAAAATAAGCGAATTGATTATCACGACACCAGTACTTTTCGCTCTGTAAATTGTTTTGTACTGAAGCGTCGCTACTTCTAAATGAGTAACTCCAGATGAATGATCCACTTGCTTATACTGCTTATTGCCTCTTGTTTTGATACTTTGGAACAATTCTGATAGTGATCTTATCTAAACAAATTCTGCGGATTGTGCTTTGAGCAGGGAAGTGCTTGCCTCGACAAATATAAGGAGCTGTTGGAAGGTGTCTTGTTGCATGCGAGCAAGGCTTATGCCTTCACCGAAAAGGTGTTCTTCCAGGCGATGACAAATTCACTTCATGGAGTGACGGGACAGAAGGCTCACTTCAAATTTGGTGACTTCGCTTGCCGGTTCTACAACCTGAAGGTCGAGCTTTGTGAACAGTTCCAGAGGGTGAGCCTTCAATCCATTTACGTGGATTTCAAATCGTTCTCTCGTTGTATATTGGTGACGTTCCCTGATCATACCAGGCAAGGGTAAGAGTAGACGGCCTCTGCACTTCTAGAGAGAATGCACACGGAATCGTAGAGATTGAATCGGCGCGAAAAATACATGGTACCATTTCTTTTTTCCTAATTTCAAGGTTTGATATGCCTTGGGGCCTTGCAGAGTGAGAATGACTGTCAGTCGGGCGGCTGTCCTCGAGAAAAGCGACTCTCTTATGGTGTCAGCACTTACTCGGTGCCTGTGCTCAACATTGCGAGGAGGCTGTACAAAGAAAAGCGAGTGGTCACTCCGATAACGGAAATTTATGGCAAGTCCTTATACACTGTGGAGCTTACGTACCCTCGGACATGGCTTTCGGACGATGTGGGCGTTGTTTCGAGAGTCGAGAGCAGTGAACGTGGATACAAGCAAGTGTTGCTGGTATAATACTGAAATCCATTCAGCATCATCTCTGCACAGGAAACTCTTATCCTACAATGACGAATTGCTCGGGTTCAACTGAATTATGTGTCACGTTTCTGTCCTTCACTAAGCTCGAAGGATTTTGAATTATGGTGAGTGATTTGGCTTGCACATGGGGGGATGGGTAGAGCGCATGCATGACATTACCATGGCTTGTCATCTGATGTGCAAGGCCGATCGCGTGAAGATTGAGAAAGGAGCTTGGGGCTGGGAAGCTGCACACAACACGGTGCTCATCACGTACAATGATTTTTTAGTGGCCAACGTTGCTTCTATGGCAGGCAGTCTGCTCAGGTTCAACAAGAAGTGTGTAAAATCAAACAAGAGGGCTCATCAAGCTCAAAAGTACCGGACGAGCGTTCAGGTTGTGGGGTCGACCCGGATCGACCTCGACTTGCAGAACCTGTTCATCAAAGGGACCAAGGACAGGGACAACGTCTACTACAAATGCTTCATTAACACAGACGAAGAAGAAATTCTCGCAATCTACAGATACCACATCCATCATTTCCACATGGCGGAGGGATTGCTGCACATTGTTGGCCGCGGCAACCAGATCGAACTACGCCACGTCCTGGTCTCCATCTTCTCCTGTCTTGGCTTCACTTGTACCGTGTGAGCAGCGAACAAAACCCATTTCTTCACCACCTACAACCCGCGAAACTTTGTCCATTAACATCGATTCGACTAGAAAATGACCCAAATTCCAGCGACCTTATTCGAATGAACCACTCTCATCGATCATTCCAAAAATCGCCCTGGAAGTGCACAACACAACCTGCATGTAGTTAGAGAGGGAAGGTAGGTGCAGCTGGAAATCAGGTAGCTTCACAACACAAAAATCAGATCCTGGTCGTGGACACACACCTCGCGGTGCCAATCAAGCCGAAAAAGAGTAAATCTACTCGAATTCTTTAGAAAACCGACACTCGGCAATCGGTCCGGTGCACCTCAAAACCTCCTCTACAGAGACGGTCGATGTCCTCCCCCATTCGAGTCACTTCCTATGCAGAGCATCAAACACGAACTCTCAACACCATGCGCCATGATCACTCAAGGCAAGTGAAGAGCATGCCAGAAGAGCACAACATCTCGGCAGCGATGATCTGCAATGCCAAGTATGAGCCGCAACAGCGTGCAACACCTAAAGCTCATGGACTCAGAGTGCAGTTCTAGTTCCATTTGCATGAGTGGCCACAGTTGTGATGTTCCTCACCCTCGGAAATTCGGATTGTACTTACATTGTACTTAGATTGTGTGAAATTGCAAAGTTTGTTTTCAAATTAGTGCGCATGTTAAAGTTTTAGCCTGTTTGATGTTCCAAAATAAAGTAAGTGATTTTAAACATGATTGTAGTATATTTGACTTTTAAGATCTAATTCAGTAGTGCGAAAGAAGATTGTTTGCATCGTTCTGTTATATTTTTTCCCAAATACTCCAACCTTCTTCCTATCGGAATAAGTCAAATTTGTACTGGAATATCCTTTACTATGAAATTATTTCAAAAAAACATACTAGTATGAGTTAAAGAATTTGATGATTTTATGTTTTTATGAAAATTGTTTTCTATGGAACTTGTCAACAATATCTTACATGTTGATTGTACTACGTGGTACATGCCTTCAATAACTTTTTACATATCTACTTCCAATGAATAGAACTTTTTTTCTTTTGTAGCTATCTTGTCTAATTTCTTTTCATTAGTTAGTTTTTATGATTAGTTGTATTGTAAAATCATACTTAAATTATTGTAGCTACAAATATATTGATAGATTTGATTATAAATTAGAGCATATATTTAAAGTCGTTGTAAAACTGAATAAATATTTTTTATTCAATTTTTGAATGGCTTTGATGTATGATATAAGTGCCAACTTTTAATGAAGATTTTGAAGTTACTTTTAACATTACAAAGATGAAGGATTATATAGTTGTGTGTATAAGCACATAACTGCTTTAACATGCTGACATGGATACATTTTAAATAAACCACATGATAAATAAATTGGAAATTCTTCCTGAAAATAAATAACTTAAAATTTGGGATTTAAGTTTGAACTTAGCTTCATGATATTTCCAACATTTATCCATCCTTTTGAAACTTTGTTACAACGCTTCTTATTGATTCATAATTGTAGAGGATTTAAAAAGTGGTGTAGCCAAGACAAAGGTCCTTTGATGCAAGTTAATTGCCATTTGAAATTTTATAAATTATTTTTAAAAAAATTAAATCTTCAAAAAAATCTATTTAAAAAAAAAAAAAAAAAAAAAAAAAAAAAAACTTTTAAATATCACAAAAAAATAGAAAAATAAAAACTTCAATGAAAATCTTAAGGATTCTTTTTACAATGTTTAATTATTTTTTGATTTATTAACATTTTTATTGTAATAACAAAAACTTTGATATTTTTATTTTAATATATTTTTAATTAATATTACAGTTATAAAGATTCTTAAATACATCCTAAAAACAGTTTGATAAAATCTTAGATAAATCTTAATAAATCCAATAAAACTTTATACAAATCCTAATAACTCTAATAAAAGTCTAGTTAAATATTAACAAATCTTAATAATATCTTAACCAAATCTTATGTAAATTCTAACAAACTATAATAAAATTCTAAAGACACTTCAATTAAGTGCTAATTAAATCTAAACCAAATCCTATCTAAATCTAATTAAATCTTATAGTAGTTTTAAAACTCCATAAATTATTAATTAAATTATTTATTTTACTTTAAAATATATACACATTGCAATTTATTGATTAACAACAAGTAAAAGAAATCTTTTAAAAATTCAACTTATTGATTAGGAAAAAAAACTTCTAATTTATTTGAATATTGGCCATCTTCTTTTTCCAACCTTAATGTTAATCTACAAGAAATTTTATTTTTTTATTTTATTGTTCAAACTTGATGGACAAAGTTTTGTGTGTTGCTCTCAAACTTTGTTTCATTGTCTCAAAAATCACAATAATATTTAAAACTAAATAAACTATTAATTCAAAAAAAATTATCTCAATTAGATTGGCAACTTTCGCAAGATCAAAGAAATCTTCACTAACTCTTGAAATCCAAATTTTAAGATCCTAAGCATTGATTTAATACAATTGATTTAATTAAGAGACTAATAAAATTCAATTGGTACTTCAATTGAATTTTAATAATTTTTAATCCAATTGTTTGATTGATCTCAAATTTACAAGCCACATTACTAATAAGCCAATTCACAATTCTACACATATTCACCTATCAAAGTACTATAATGTTCAAAAAATTTAAAATATATAAATTATTTTTTATTTCTCAAAATCTCAAATCACTTTAAAAACCTCTAACTTTAAAAAACCTTTAAATACTTATTATTTATCTAAATCACCTTAAAACAATAGTCAAACATATTTTAACAAGTTTAATCTTTGATATTGTTCTTCAATCAATAAAAAATAAAAAAAATAAAAAAATAAAAAAAAAAAACTGGATTTGCAATAGGTGTGCATTTTTGTGTCTTAAGATATAGTTTTGACTATGGTTCACAACCAATCCTTTTTAAATACCAATTTCTAGCTTTTTTAAAATAATATTTTCTAAAAAACACTTTTAATTCTCTCCTAAAGATGCAAATATTTATATTTTTTTAGTCTACTTTAATCTAATTTATTTATGCTCCTACAAAATAAATAGAAGCCTTTTTACAAACAAAACAATATTAACACTAAATGTATTTACTAACTCCCTATTTTTTACCCATATCTTTTTAAAATATAATTCATATATTTTTTCTTTTATTGTATAGCTATGCTACTATATAGCACCTTGCAATTGAAATCTTATGCAAGACCTAATAAAGGTCATATTTTATCTTCAAAAACCTCACATTGTTTTATAATAGATGTTTGTTTAGAATCTAAAAATCACAAAGCTTTTGCTTGATTTGATTCAAGAGGCTTAGCTTCTTTTTAAATAAAAGCTTTGTTAAAAAACATGAAATATCTTCAATAAAGAAAACTAAGACCATAAATGTAGAAGTCATAGATTATTATTCTTTATCTTTTTTAGATCTTATCTATAAAACTATTCATAGAAAGTGAAGCACAATTATGCGCTTTTAAATTTTCCTACAACGAGACATTTTAGATACAATAAGATATTGAAATTAATATCAATAGATTTTAAGAGGCTTCAAATGTAAATGGTAGTTAAAGACTTTGTATAATTATGTGATGTTTGTTTAAAATTAAAAAATACTTGTTATTGACCTTATGGACTTCTTCAACCATTACTTATATGAAAACAACTATGGTCAATTATTTTTATAGACTTTTTTTTATCAATCTTAAGTTCTTATAATTTTATATTTGTAATAGTAAATTGCTTCACTAAAATAACACAATTTGTATCTTGTGCAAAAACTATCATAAATAAAGAAATAGCCAAAGTTATTTTTGATAATATTTATTGCTATTATGGATTGCCAAGAAATATTATATCAAATAGAAGGACTTAATTTGTATTTAGATTTTAGAGAAGACTTTTTAAAATATTGAAAGTATACATTAAATCATCTTTGGTCTTCTATCTCCAAATTAATGGACAAACAAAATAGGTGAATTAAATATTAGATCAATATTTAAAATCTATCATGTATTCCATGTCCTTTTTTTCTTTTTTCTTTTTTTTATCATAGAAGATAGTAAGTATACCAAAAAAAGGACAAATGCCACATTTTCTTATAAAAATGGACAACAATCAAGAATTTAAAATAGAAGAAATTTTAGACTTAAGACAACGTTGAAATAGTTGGAATATCTTGTACATTAGCATAGATATGATACTAGTGAATATACATGACAGCCATTCAAAAATCCTATCAATGCAACAAACAATATTGATGTGTTTTATCAATAACATCCTTCAAAACCAAGATGATGAATAAAAAATTCTTTGTTACAAAGCAAAGTAGATTCAATGAAGATTGTGACCTTAAGGAAATAAAAAATTAACAACAAGCAAATTCAATACTCAAGAATTATTGTTTGTTGAATTACCAAACAAATCATTGAAATTGTCATAACTTTTTAAGCAATGTAATAAAGATGAAGATCTTTAAAAATGACATATTCTTAAGAATAGATGATAAGACATAATGCATTTCATATCATGACCTTGAAAGAGACTCTTAATATTTGATAATACTATTAAAAATATAAACTATTATTAATTATAATCCAAATGTTTTGTTGAAAGAAGCCATAAATACTTAAATAATAATGAAATAATAAGATGGTCTTACTACTTTGATATAAGCTACTATTTATGATTGAAAGGACCTATCAACTACCTTTAATAGAAACAAAAATCAAAATATATAACAAATTCAATTGGCCACATCTTTGACTTTTCCAACATATAATCACCATTCTTTGTAAAATTTTATAATTAAAAATATTACCAAATAAACTTACATCTAAAGAGAGTTTAGAATATGTACACTTACAACAAAACTAAATACAAAGTAACTTGAAAATATCAAATAACTTAGAAATATAATATAATATTATAACTTGGTATCATTTATAACTCAAATCTGAAATTTCATAAAATTATAAACAATACTCGATTTTAGATAACATAGACCATCAACTTAAATTTAGGTACAGAATCTAATTCAAGCTCCACAATTTGAATCCACATCAACTCTGAAACAATACTTTTTAAATATCCAAGAATCTCACATGAAGCAAAAATTGGAGGTACAACCAAATAGTACCTGGAAGATGTAAGATCAACATGTATTCGAAGGAAAAAAAAGTTCAAGTTGTTTCACAACTAAAGTACTCAAAATTTAAGAAGAATAGTTCGGTTGATGTTGCTTGCTAGTGGCGTTAATAAATGCATAAAATCATATGCACTGGGAGGGGATGCCTCATACAGTTTGTGAAGAATCAGCGCAATCTTGTGCTAAAAATAACTGGTCGGGGAAATTTACAAGTTCTTTCAATGGACGGCACTGCACATCCTAATGATGGATGATCTGACAGAGTGGCGCCACCCCAGCTGCCTGGTTGGAATTGTTATCACTCATGATTTTCTGAACACATATTTGACCACTTACTCTCATCAATATTACGAGATATAAACAAAACAGGGCCCGACACAGACTACTACACCCACCATTTCAATCACGACAGCTTTAGTGTCAAACAATAGATGTAAATATTGATTCAATAACCATATTATTTAGAGCGATAATGTCTATCTATAGAAACCGAGATGTCCGAGCATAAACCCCAACAGGAATCTGCCGGTGCACTTACACTGCATTAAGACGATAGGAGAGAGAATCTCCCAACATCCCCACAGTATGAACAGACGGGTGTGATACGCAAATGTGGGTTGGAAGAAACCCGAGAACGTTACAAGTGCAAAAATGGTTCAATATTTAATTCCACGGCTGAGCACGGATCTGTAATATCAAAGCGCAGCATGACCTGTTTCAAAAGTAGAGGTGATAACGTTAATGTGGTGAGCAGGACTTGAATCGAGGCATAAAGCCAAATGCATACTGAACGAGTTGAGCAAGTACCCAAATCAATGCACATGCGAGACTGACCTCAGGATTTACGATTCCGAAGGAGCCAACGCAAGATCCCGCATAAATTATGTTGGCTTGCCGTCCTGAAAAATATTCAGGCTCCTGAAATCGACAAGGGAAAATCCAGGTTTAGTTCATTGTGAGGTAGAGCGTGTTTATAACAGGCATAACACCAAACGGCTACAAACTAGGAATTAACCTCCCCGCCTGTTAAGAGGACAAACAAAGAGTACTTCTAGCTTACTAATTGAAGCTGGAACCTAGGATACCCTAGCCTTTCAGCACCTCACTAATTTTACCATTATTATAAATATTATTAAATAAAGAACTTTTAGCAAGGAAATAACAGACCATGTTATTATGACAAGAACACGCATGCGAAAAGCAAAAACTGGCACACAGCACTGCAATTTCTTACACTAATATGGCAGGTAAAATCTACACACATAAAGCTCAGACGGTTCTTTAACAAAATAGGCAACTTAAAGAGAGATAGTATGTATATATGTACACACACATACACACACACGTACCTGGGACGGGACAATATGGTAGCCATCATCACTGTAGGTGCCAGAACCTTTATTAAACTCAGCAGGCCGAACACCAAGAACCTCAAACACTCTGTCAATAAGACCATGAATCACCTAATTTCATACCCACACGAAAATAATTAGCAGCCAACAAGAAAAGTTTCTGCCGAGTGTTGCAAAAACATTTCAAGAAACATCAGATATTTTTAAGCAGAAATGTATCAACGTCTTGTCTTGAGACTACAGCAAAACCAAGAAGAAAGAAAAGGTGGTCTCTAACAAACCTCAAAACCAGAGTTCATATTGGAGTAGATAGCAGCAAGATGTCTACTGTTCACTGCACCCACGTCCTTTTTACTATCCAGTCTTACAATGTCAGATACCTCGAACAGCTGCAATGAGATATCCCACCTTATTAGGATTGGCATCCACGTTTGGCTAAGGGCACAGCAAACGAACACAGTTCAGATGCTGATAGGAAAGGTAGCGAGAATAACCTTAAGTGGTCTAGGTGCATCTTTGTTTGAACCCATCGTTTTCAACATCCCTGGAAGCAAACTCGAGCGTACTACCTGTAATAAGGTAGCAACGTCTAATAATAAGTATCAACCGTAAAAGAGACTGTCAGCAAATTACCACAAACGAAATCTCATCAACCTTGTGTTATTGATAATCGCAACTGCACGTGCAATTAGAAAAGAGATCCCACCTCAAAATCTGCAGTCCTCGGGTTGCCAATGATTACGGCTGTATTCCCGTCGTCCTTTCGATTAACCATAGTAAAGTTCTCTTCACGAGAGCACAAAATCCACGTAACTACCTCCGTAAACCCTGCCATTGCCACCTGCGAGAGTAACCACATCCAGAGCGGCTTGAAATTAGATATGGTGAGCAGGAAGTTAACAACATCAACATCTACAACACCCTCACAAACGCATGTGCGTGACAAACAAACATATCAATCTGCAATATTATTTAGCCATAAACTTAGTAAATTGACTCAAAACCGAACGCAAGAAAAAAATCCTACCTCGGCTCTTATCAAGTCAGTGAAATGATTCAATGGCTGCTGTTTCCCTTGCGTGTGAGACCTCGGCACAGTCCTTGAAATATTATTATATCCATATGCTATTGCAACATCCTGCAAACAAAAAGAACCTTGAGAACACCATTTTTTTCAATCAATCGGTTCTTGCGTCCAGATATAAGCTAGGAATTTCTCTGGAGGAGAATTCTCACCTCGGCAACATCACAAGCATGTAGAACATCGCTTCTTGTAGGTGGAGCAGACACTCGAATTCTTGAGTCAGATTGAACCTCAGTTTGAAGCTGCATCTTATTCAGCAAATTTGCGACCTGCCACACAAAATTTTGGCAAATAAAAATAATAAGTGCATCTTTTACATCGTCAGTGTACAAGTCAAACCAGTACAACAAATTCTTCCACACAACCTCTTCGATCACCAGTTAATCATCCTTCAGCAATGGATTTAAGGCGATTAGTAAGTTCAACCCATCAGAGGGTATAAATAGACAAACACCAGAACCCATAAGCATAGACTTCTTCAATTGCACACATTACCTACCAAGACAGAATCCTTCAACTGTTCCTAGAATACTAGCGCTACGTCTATCTTAAATGGTGTTATAAGCAGCAATGAGTTAGAATTTCAGAACTCAGGTACACAATGACATTGATGATATGACAAACCTCTTTTGCTCCCAATGAAGTTCCGATAATTCTATTGATGTATGCCATGTCCACTTCAAATGTACGAAGTGAAAGATCTGGGTATAGTGCGGACTTTCCATCTGCTGAGATCACCTCCACAGGTTCCACTTCAAATTGAGGACTGCTGTACTGTGAGAACGTAGTAACCTGTCTCCCACAATAAAAGCAAGAAAATAACAAATTCATCAACACCTAAACATTGATAGCCATGAACAATAGAGCTAATAATGGAAAATAAAGAGGAGGCAAGCAGCAAAGTGGCATACCATGGTGTTCAGCACAATCTTTGCCTTCGTCAAATCGGTAGCTGTGCATTCAATAAAGACATTCTTTGTCTTCAGGGAAATTGCCGAGTGTGCTCCGTTGATAATTGGGGGCAATGACAGCACTCTCCTGATAGATTACAACCAAAGGGGAACATGAATCTCTACAGGAAAGAAGCAAACCGTTGTAGTTGTTTTTATGCTCATGATTAAGTGATCATGAAAATTGCAGAATAAATTAGTTGTCTAGCGGGAACTTACTGATCTAACACACTGATTTATTCTTATTTTCAAGTACTAGACATGTAATACTAGAACGAACATCACAGATAGATTACCTCTTGCTGTCGTAGATTACAGGGTAGACTGGAGAACTTTCAATGATGTGCAAGAACTTCTTCAATTTCAAGTCCGACTGTCACGACAATATAACATAATTAGTCCCGTTTCTCTCTCTCTCGCTGCCTCTCCCCCTCTAGATGAACTTAAATTCTGCTCCTAACAGAGTAACCAGGAGGGACAATGTCTACTAGAATTCATAAATCAGAACTGTTTCAAATAAAAATTCACGAATCTTAAATAGAAGTTACCTTGTAAAACTCCATTAAATCAGCGCCATTGAATTCCTTTGTCTGCACACGGATAAGAACCATGATAAAAATGAAGGATATACGTCAAGTAATTAGAACATAGACTTCATGCAAATTCACAAGGCCTGACAACAACTTTGAATCGATTACGTTCCATCTTCATCAAGGCATAAAAACAAACCCACCTGCTTGAGAGGAGCGAATTTAATATCAATTGGTGGTAGAGCCTGCACAAAAAATATCAAAATGATTCAATCTATTGAGACCTAAAAGGAATCATGAAATCGAATATAAAATGAGAACTAACGAGATACGCAGGTAATGAATTGGAAATATTATGGCCAAGTATTAATGCATCTGCAATATTGTCCAAACAACCACAAAAATGAGACTCTGACGGTTGAGAGTTGAGGGTTGAGACATGTTATTACCTCGTAAGTGAATGGACCTTCAATTACATCAAGGTCGTGAGTCCCTATTGCAACTAAAGTCCTCCTCCTGAAAGCATGCAATATAACAGAAAATGCGAGGTTATGATACTATACTCGGCAGAACAGAGGAGTAATTGGAATAATTCCACTTTTTGCTACAAAAGTAACTAGCTGGTCGAAGTTTTAAGTGAAACCACACCTGCACAGGTTCTGATGAAGCTTGTCTTGAAGGTCAATGAAGCTGTTGTAACGTGCTTCATCAAAAGTAACGCCCCGCAGCACCGCACATACAACGAAGGGTCTGATTGACGAAGTCTGCAAATTTGCGTAAAGAGCATCAATACCACTCGTGTTCAAAAAAATTACATAAATAAATTCATAGAAGCGCAGAAATGTCATCATGAAGGCATTTTCATTGCGAACAAGACTAAAGTCGCCGGAATGCTTCATAAAAAAGTTTTCCAAGAACAGAAAATAGATTGCTATAACTACTGCACACCTCTGGTTTCACAACCATCTTCTGTACTGAACGTCTCGGGATATCAGAAAGACGAAAAGTCGGAATAGGATCTTTCCCAGTGAATATCCTCAATGCCTTTGCCAAGCCTTCCAAGCACAATAAATCATATCTGCAAGCAAATGCAGAACATACTAATCAAGTGCATATAAGGGCACGTCAGGTTCCTTCTAAACGTAGCAGTTCGAGGTATTATGTCAAGTACTCACAGCTTTCATAAGCAAGGCTCTTTCATAAAAAAAGCGAAGATCAAGGTGTAAATACCGATTAGCAGGTACGTCGATCTTGTAAATGATCTCTTCATCTGAACTTGCTTCTTCATCCACATGCTTCTCCTTACGCATCACCTCCTTCTCGGTTGTCTGAACAAGTGGTTCACAATGCATTGGAACTAACGCTCGACGCAAATTCAAAACATACAGATGTCCGAATAAAAAAGAATTAGAGAAATCACGTACCACATCATCAAGCTCAATACCGAACTCAAAGCAAAGCTCGTCAAATTCCTGATCAGCTGCACCGACGTGAGCACGATATCACTACCACAGTCCAAATCCAACAAAAGAATCCTCAGAGAACTCAAATCTAACCAAAATGTCACAAAAGTCAAAACACACTTACTGTAAGTCTGCTCCAGCGCAGCAAAAAGACGATCACGGCCTACACTAACCGTCGGCATGGCGAGACGTGCGCCCTGCCAACACAACACCAACTTCCTCACCTCAGCACAGTTCCTTTCCTGATTAAACAGTTAGAAGAGCTCTGTAGGAGAGAGAGGGGGACAATTTTAATAAATAACAAATAATAGGAAATCAAAAATGAAAACCTACACGACTTCTTCACGTAGTTGAAGTAAAAGAGTACAATTTAAATAATAGCAGAATTCAATCCTCAAATCCTTTTGTCTAGTACAATTTAAATAATAGCAGAATTCAATCCTCAAATCCTCTTGTCTAAGTGCATCACAGTTCCCTGCTGGCGACAATATCCAGGACTACATCCCTAGACCTCGGAATAATCAAGACAAACTTCGAATTCCAGAATATCGGAGAAGGAAGCTCATTTCGTCCGAATCACTGTACAATGAGGTGAAATCTGAAACCTTAAAAAATAGTGAGTCGAGGTAGGGAAGAAAGAGAGAGAGACCAAGGGTTATCGCCGCAAGCACCCGTGGAAGTGTAATAGGTGATCAATCGCAGCGCAACAACAACGCTCACGACGACGACGACACGGAGCACTGGTGCAGTTGATGTAAGCGTGCCTATACCCCTCTCTCCGTCCCTCCACTTAAGCATGGACTGGACTTTCGGAGCCAGCCCCCACTCTTTCTTTTCCTCTCGGAGGCGTTCTTTTTGCAATTAGGGTTTTTAGATTGGTGCTTTCTCACTTGTCGGGGCTCCTTATTACTTTATTCGCGCATTGTTTGATTTATGTCTTTCCATGTCTCGTCTTTATCGTTGTATTCCATCTTTTATCATCCCATTATCCATTTTTATCGTTGTACATAGAGTCATATGCATTATATATATTCCCCCATAATTTATTCCTAAAAATCAACAATCTCCAACAATTAGTCAAAAAAATTAAGAATTAACTTTGTTTTATAGTGCATAATTAATATTTTATTTTTAATAGTCATTTGATTTTTATTGACTTTTATTAATTAACAAAGGTAAATAATTGTACATGATAGAGAGTGTGTTGGTTGTGCATTTATATTTGGTTAAAATTACATATTTTTGTGACTGGTTTGTAGCACTAAGAGTGTATTGGTTGTACATTCATATTTGGTTTAGATTACATATTTTTGTGACCGTTGTCGTGTCGTAACACGACTATATAGTGAAAGATGATAATATGGATCTTATTATAGAAGAGCCAAGTTAAAAGAAAAGGTAGAAAAATATGGATAAAAGATAGGAAGGTAGTAAAACTTTTAGTAGTAATATTGCATTTTTAGAAAAAAATAGCTTCTACTTACTTTGTAGGGCCAAAAATAAGGAAAAATAAGGTAGATTGGAAAAATAAATGATATAGACATCTTTAGGAGGAAGTTAAGAGTAAATTCTAGTAAAAATTACTTTAAAAAAACTAGATGTTGATACCCGGAGAGGGCCGGTTATGAACCAGGGTCGGAATCAGACCCTGAGGCACAAAACCGAGTCTCAACCACGACTTCGGGACTCTTTGACAGATCGGAGAAGAGAGTTTGATAGAAGATTGAATAGGGTTTCTATAGGCATTGATTTTGGGTGATTTGGAGTTGGTATGACTTTATATGAGCTTTGCAAAGTCAAGGTTTGTTTCGGATGACTTGGGTTTTATGAAATAAAATAGGGTTTACGTTTTGGGTGATTTCAAGTGTTTTGTAATAGATCTACCCATGAAATTTTGTAGGTTTATGGTTATAGTTGGATTTAATATTTGTTGTGAATTTGAGCTCGATCTAACGGTTGGATTGAGGAATACTGAAGTTTAAGTGGGTCAAGGTCTTAGAAAGTAGAATTTTAGGTCCAGTGAGGGTTTTTAAGATTTCTTGCAATCTACTTGTTGGATTAGAGTGAAACTTATGTGAGAGGATAATAGACTTGTTTTTCTATGTGTATGAGAATTTTGAGATCAATCGAACGGTGCAAAGAAGAGATATTGGCTCTGGAAGATTGGCATCAAGGTTGAAGAAGGAGGCCAACCAATACCCGAGCACGTTTTTGAGGTTATCGCCTATTTGGTAATTCCGATCATTTTCAAAAATTTTGTGGTTTTTTTCAACTTAGTTTTTAAGAAGTGTAAAAAATTTGAGTTAAGATCAACAGTTTTTTCATTAGCTATTAAGGTTTAAATCTATTATAGGAATTATTAGGGTTTGATTAGGAATTGGTTTAGGGTTTAGGATTTGGATTAGGGTTTGATTTAGGATTTAGGATTTGGATTAGGGTTTGATTAAGAATTGGTTTAGGGTTTAGGATTTGGATTAGGATTTGATTTAGGATTTAGGGTTTGGATTAGGGTTTGATTAGGATTTATTTAGGATTTAGGATTTAGTTAGGATTTGGATTAGGATTTGGTTTAGGATTTAGGATTTGGATTAGAATTTGGTTAGGGTTTGATTTAGGATTTGGTTAGGATTTGGTTTAGGATTTGGTTGGTGTTTGGTTTAAGGTTTGTTTAGGGTTTGATTTAGGATTTAGGATTTTATTAGGATTTAAGATTCAATTAGTTTTGGCCTAAAGTTTGAATGAAGTTCAATAGGATTTTAACTAGAATTAAATTAAGATTGAATTGAGATGTATTTGAGTGATATTTGTGATCCTTCTAATATTTCTTTAAGAATTCTTATTGTTTGTTTGAAATTTCTTTGAGGTTTTTTTGAATTTGATTAAGCTTGCTTAGCATTATTATGGTCTAATTAGAACATTGTTAGTATTCTATTAGAATTAGGATTTTGTTATTGCAATTTCCATTCTTCCTTCCACAGCCAGGTGCCCTGAGCATCCTCAAGCAAGACTTCACGTATTACAACACCGTGTGTTGATTGTGCATTTATATTTGGTTTAGATTACATATTTTTGTGACTAGTTTGTAGCACTTGATGTGTTGTGAGTAATGACCTTTGTTTACACAATAAACTATTATGTACATGGTTTAACTACAAATGTAGGTGTCTACAATACTAATGTCTTCTAAAAATGCATTTATGCATAACATGATAAGTAAATAGAACAAAACAAAAAATTGACTACCAAAATAATTTAGGTTGCAATAACATTTAGGATTGTTTTCAATGTAGAAGAACTTCTATCAAACCTACTTCTGTCTTAATACTTACACTTTGTTCATAGTTCATGTTTACTAGGTCTAACCAAAACATCTCAGATGCTACTTCAATTTAAAAACTTCACACATAAACAATTTGCATAAGATAGGTATTCACCCTCCAAGGAACCAAAAACAAATCGAACTTTGAAACCCCATGGGCAAATCAACAATGTCATGCTTAGCACATTTGAAACAGAAACGAATCAAAGAAGTTAAAGAATTTAATGTATATATAAATCGTCAATAACCGAGGCATATGTTACCTCGAACCACTGATGTGATTCAGTGATATATGCTACATTATATTGTACTGAACCAATTGTTTCTGATTACCTCATCATCTAGTTGCAGGCATTCCTCACTATTCCTCAGGAAAAAAATCATAGTGGGTCGCCCCGGAGGCTCACGATTCCATCCGACTACCTCTCTGCCGTAGCCAGTATCTGATCCGCATTTCTAGTCTCTCTTTGCCACCGGATCGATGCAGAGATCGTCATTTTCACAGAAAGATTGGCTGTTTCAGGAATGGATGCGTCTTCAAGAATGGAGCGGATACACGGTTTTTCGGTGCATCTCTTTTACAGATAATTACAGAGCAGAAAGAATGAGACACCCTGCACGGTGTTGTCTAGAACTTCAAGGTGATATCCTTTCGCAAGATTTTTCCGTATGCAGACTTGGGAATCGAGTCAGCGAAGTAGACATCGTGGATTTTCTTGTAGAACACCACCCTCTTTGCAACGTGGTCCTTCACCTCGTCTTCGGTGATCGTGCAGCCAGGGGATCGGACCACGATCGCCACGGGTACTTCTCCGGCGACCTCATCCTTGCGTCTGCAGAGCATTGGGTTGGTTAGTTGTAGAGCAGACTCGACAAGGTTTCGTAGTTTGTGAGATGGTATCTAAATTGCTGCTTGTAGGGATGGGCAAGGAGGGGGTGATGGAGGGAGGGGGGGAGGGTGGTGGAGCTTACGAGACCACTGCTGCGTCTTGGATTTGTTGGTGAGAAAGAAGGACGGCTTCCAGTTCTGCTGGTGGAACCTGGAAGCCCTTGTATTTGATGATTTCCTTCACTCTGTCCACGATGAACATCTCCTCGTCCTCGTCTATGAATGCGACATCTCCAGTGTGGAGAAAGCCGTCCTCGTCGATCGTGTAGGCCGTAGCTTCCGGGTTGTTCAAGTATCCTGAGGTTGGCAAACTCTACGTTTAGTGATACAGCGCAAATGTGGTCACACTTGATTTACTCGTGTGTGAGCATTTCGTGAAACAGTTACTCAACTTCACGAGGAGAACGGAAACAAACCTTTCATGATTTGAGGTCCCCGAATGCATATCTCTCCGGGCTGGTTGTATGACAATGACATGCCAGTCTCGGTGTCGATAATCTTCACCTCTGCGTTCCGAACGACAGTGCCACAAGATCCTGGTTTCACAGGAAAGGGTGTCTTGGCGAATGCCAAACTCATTGCCAGTACTGGGCCCGCTTCGGTCATTCCGTAACCCTGCAAATTCACAACTTAATCCAAGCTCATATGAGTTGTCGGTTCCTAGAATACAATACACAAAAATTATCCTCAAATCTTCAGCGCTTCTGTTTCGGAAAGGAAGACATGTCAAAAGGAATTACTGGAGTGATAGAGTATGTTACCTGGCCTAGAATAGCGTTGGGCAGCCGAGCCCTGAAGGCATCTTCCAGCTCCTTACCAAGAGGGGCAGCACCGGACATTATCATCTTGATGCTGGAAAGGTCGTAATTCTCCACGATGGGATTCTTCGCAATTGCGAGCATAATTGGCGGCACAAAAGGTCCCATTGTCACTTTGTATTTCTGGATGAATTCTAGCAGTTTGGAGAGCTCAAACTTGGCCATGATCACGAGAGTGGCTCCGGCACGAAGCCCGCAGAGGAGGATCGAGTTCAGGGAATAGATGTGAAACATGGGCAGCACACACATCAGAGTGTCCTCTACATTGATATTGAAATGGGGCACTTCGCCATCGACTTGCTGGGCAACGCTGGTCACAAGACTCTTATGCGTAAGCATGACACCCTTTGGCAGCCCTGTGGTGCCAGAGGAGTATGGGAGGCAGACGACGTCGTCGGGGTGGATGTCGACTTCCGGGCATTCAGCCTCGTCGGCCTCTAGGAGCGCGGAGACGTGTAAGTAGCCGTCGACATACTGATCGACGACGATGATTTGGATGTTCAAACCAGCCAGCTTCTCGATGTATCTGGATTGAGTAACCACGACCGTCGCCCCTGACGCGATGATCTGCTTCGCAAGCTCAGTTGATGTGTAAAATGGGTTAGCTGTGGTTACGATGGCGCCCCTCTTCGCAGCTCCGAGGAACACTTGGACGAACTCCGCGCAGTTTGGGAGCAACAAGGCAATGACTCCCCCCTGTTCCACTCCAATTTTTGCCAACCCTGCGGCCACGCGCCGTGAAGTGAGCTCCATCTCGCCATAGCTGTACTCTCTCCCTGTGTTACCGTCGATTAAGCAGACTTTGTCGGGCCACTGCGTTACCTTCTCGAGGCAGTAATCAGTCAGGGGCATGTGATTGGAGATATAAATATCTGGTAGTTTGGACCTGAAAATGAATTCTTGTACTTGATCAGACGGTGCACTTTCCGTCTTCGTCTCCGCCCAGGACTCAGTGAGAGAAGGTTTCAATTCCTGAACATCAGATTGTAGGGATTTCATAATCGAGTACGTTAAGGGTTCGGACATGAGAGACTCCGAGATTATGCTAGGAGACATTTTCAAAGCTCTTAATTTCCGGCTGGACCAATGTGCTCACCGATCTGTTCAAAAAACAATTACTGTGTTAGTTGTAAAACGGATAGAAAAGAGCTACCGCCTGGCTGTATATTTCTCATCATTATAGACGCGAATAGAACAACAGCAATGAGCCTCTGAGAATCCGCTAGCTTGCAAAGTGATCGACCTACAACAGACATACCAACAGCTTCGTATCTCTCCCATTAAACCCTCTCACACGTGGTGCTAAAGTTATCACTATTCTGGTAGAACTACAAGAGCAATCAAAATTATTCTACCGAAGCTCGAACGTCAGGAAACATCACAATATTTTTTTTACATTGCGATCTCATACTACACAGCACATTTCAATGCGAGCTTCAAGCTTCTACCTGACTAGCAACCAGGACCTCACTCCTTCCAGAGGCTATTGATGTTCAAGGTCGGGTTGTGCACAGGGACTAGATGAAATCTTGAGCGGAGAGACTGATGCGAGCTCTTTGGCGACCAAATGTGGACTAATATCGGAACGAAGGGACTTTCTCAGAGAGATTGTGGATGACGGTAGAGAAAATTGTAAGCTGGCAATTACAGTTGGAGGCTGGAAAACAAATCAGCAGAACTGCGAAGATGAAGAGAGGGTATCTGACGGCCTCGAAGCTCCCTCGCTCACGTGTTCTGCTCCCTGCTCTTCGGTTGCACTATCATTGCCACTGCATACTTGGGCCTGAGTCCCCTGAAATGCTCCTCTTTCATCCCTTGTAATGGCTCCACAGAGAAAGAAGATAAATATCACTCATTACACCTGTCCTCAAGAAATGGGTCTTCAGCGTGCAGGCTCACAAGCATCTAACTCGATCCGCGCTATTATCCACAAGGTTGGCGCGACTATTGATTGCGGATCGGCTCCACAAGACAAACTCGCAATTGACACGGTTCTTCATATGCAGGTGTTGGGCTCCCCGCTGAGTTCTGGCTGACGTTCAGACGCTGGGGGCTCAGGTCATCCTGGTCTTGCTCGATCACGGAACCTGACTTCGGATCCGCAGCGTAGGCTTTCCTCAGGCGATGTCCAACCTTGGACAAATTCCTACCGCTTTCAGAACTTTTCTCCTTCCTTTCCTCCTTTTCCCATTTTGACTGCACCGCGTAATGTCTGCAACAGCGACAGCGGCGGAGGGATCGATATGGAAAACAAGCAGCATGGGAATCGACGATAGTCAGAGACTTCGAGTTCATCCCTCGAGGGATGTCTCTGCGGGGGTTGCCATATTGTCAACAGGAGCTTGGTGCTTTCTCCTGGTTCCATGATGTTCAACAGTTGCAGGAAAATGTTTCAACTGAAGAGCGCGGTTAGTCCCCATTGGTCCGTAAAGGTGGCAGAAAGTGCATGAGGAATGAAACATTTTTGTGCCGAATCTCGCAAAGGGGTTGGAAGTCAAGCCCCGCTCTGACTGTCATGGACGAGATTCCATCGCCGGGTTTCGGCATTGACCGCGAGGATTTGCGCATGTGCTCAAGGCCTTGACGCTCCTATGCCGTCCACGCGGTATGCTCTTGTGCTGACTGAAGCGAGAGAGTGAATCCGCTGGATGGATGCATTAGTGCGTGGATAAGTGGATGACCAGATAGTATGGATGATCCGATACGATTGATTGATGAATGGATTGGTGGATGAATTAGTGCATGGATGTTTGGATGACCAGATAGTATGAATGGTGGACGGATGTACAGTATTATAATTGGAATATGTGGCTTTTAAAAAACAAGGAAAGGATTGGGAAAAATGTTTTTTTTTTTTTTTTTTTTTTTTTTTAAACACTATTTTATGATAGCTTTTCTATAAGTTTGAATGATTTTGAAGTGAATATACATACTAGTTTTAAGGTAGTTTAATGGTTTATATCATAATTCGTATAGAACATACAATGAATCTTTTTCAAATACAGATTTTAGCCCCTATTACATCATCCTTTTCTTAAATCGTCAATTTTTACAAATTTACATTTGCCAAACATGTAAAGTGTGATGAAAATTTTCCAATCATATCAAAGCAAAAGGAATTTCTATATTTTTTTTCTAGTTTTTAGTTTATATTATAAATATATACTTTTTTTTAATTATTTTATTTTTTAATAAACACATAATTTATCTAATTTATTATATGAAACAACTTGGGTATAAATCAAAGAGACAGTAGTCTTTTCTTTGGCTAAAGATGGAAATGAGAGAATATGGATGAACAAGGGAATATATGGATGGATGTGTAGAAGAATGTAGTGCCCAATATCATGGGTTCCCACTATTAATATATAAAATAGCTTGTGTATAAGATAAAGAGACAAAGAAGCCTTTTCATTGGCCATGAAGAAGAGAACTTGGGAAACATGGGAGCGTAAGAACACAAGGCTTTTCAAGGCCTTGTAGTATAGAAGAGACTACCTCTAAAAGCTTTTATATCTTTTCTATGCCCAATAACATAGGTTTTCACTACTATATATATAAAAACATATATTTTATATTCACAATGTAAAAATTTATGTTGCCTTTTCACAATGCACTTTTTAAATATAATTATGATTTTTATTCTAAAAATAAAAAATCTAAAAATACTAAAATAAATATGGTTTATTATAATATTTTATTAAATTAGTTATTTTAGCAATTGAAGTAAATAAGAATTATCTTTGCCAATAACACTAAAGAAATATAAATGGTTCTGTAATTTTTGATTTTGATTTTGATTTTTTTTAAGTTGATGCTTTTTAACAAGTTGTTGATTTATTACTTGAAAAATTAAAATGTCACAATTTTTTTTTACCCAATGATATGGATAAGTATCTAATAATAATAATAATCATATTAACAACTTTCAAAGTAAATGTTAAGTTCATATTTTTATTCTATAATATAATTTTTTTTATAACGTCCAAAATTTCTAATAATACTAAAATAAAACATAAATGATTCAGTTTTTATGCATATAAATTTCTTTTGTCTTTTCTTTTCTTAGTCAACAATTCTTTAGGAGTAGTTGATTTTTGATTGAACACTACAAAATAAAATTTTACAACTTTTATTTACTCAATGGCACAAGTTTCTACTAATATATTATATAAATAAATGATTTTATCTTTTAAATAATTTAATTTATTTTTAATATTATATTTTAGTAGAAACTAAAATCCTATATATGCCATGAGTACAAAATAATTTATTTTGATTAAATTTTTTAAAATTTTAAAATGAATGGATTTTTTTTATTAACTAATTTTTTATATAAGAATTAAATGTAAAATACGATATGTTTTGAAAATTAACTTAATTTTAATTATAATTTATTTGAATTATTTATATTTAAAAATATTACCATGAAGTTATATATATATATATATATATATATATATATATATATTTGTGTTTCATATAACCACTTGATATATGGATAATACATCAATTTCAAAAATTATATTGTATAATTTAATTTAATTTTAAATGTATACTTTAAGCACCATGAAAGATGCTTATTTTTATTACTTGTCCTTCAACTATATTTGTTAAATCTAATATAAAACTAAAGGATATGTTGAATGTAATCCATCTTGATGTTAAATTTTCGAATACACTTGATAACTCTCACGAGATCTTACAAAAAAAAATTTTGTCTTTGTGCTCTTCCACCAATATTTTTCTTTCAACTCAATAAATGTTGCTCAAATATCCCAATGTCTGGCTCACCAATTCTCATAAAATTTATTAATAATTTTTTTTTATTTATTTTTAATTCTATTTACAACTTATTATGATATTCCACACTTTTTCTTTGAATGCTTCCATAAAAACCATTTGGAAGAAAATATCCATATGTTTTCCTTCAAATCTTCTTAAATTCTTTATTTATCTAATCTTCTTCTCATATTAATGTAATTAAGTATTTTCCTATATACAACCATTGACCATCATATAATTCTTCTCAAAAAAATTCAAGTGATATAGCCAAATACAATCCATCCCTTCTTGCATATAAAGTTGAATAAAAATTGGTGCCAATATTTTCTTCATCATCAATCATATCATCTTCATTATCATATCATGCTTGTGATAACAAATCTACAATCATATTGCTTTTTTTTAAAATATGCTTAAATTTTGGATTAATAGAATTTATATATACAATCTACATTAACATTATAATATCTAGTGTAGAATAATTAATAATCATGCCTAGTAATGATAATAATCTATTTCAACAATCATGATTGTATCAATCAAATATTCTTTTTTTATTTTTTTATTATGGTTATTATTTCTCATAATTTTCTTTTTATTTGTGCATAAGCCCTTTAATGAAGATTTAAGACTTTTGCTCCAAATCTAACCACATATCTATTCTCTTCTTCACCAACTTCTCTAATTATCCATCTAATTTCTATTGGACTAGCATCAACCATTAATACTAGTGGTTTTCCTAAATCATAATTATTTTTTTTCAAAGATGGTCGTAAAGAAAGGAATTTCTTCAACTTTTTTACTACCTTGCTTTACTCAATATTCCATTGAAACCTCCACCCATTCTTCAATAAATAATATAATGGCTTTGCTACATATGCAAAATATAGAATTTAAATGTGGTAAAAAATGTATGATCTCAAAAACCTTTGAACTTCTAATGTATTTGAATATTTTTTTTATCCTTTGAATTATGTCCACTTTTTCCATTGATGGCTTGCGTCCATATAGTCCACACATATGTCATACTACCAAAACTCTTTTTATCTCAAACATTATTTTTGCCTCCAATAAGGTTTAATAAATTTCTTTTAATCTTATCAAAATCTTTTCACAATCATCAATATGATTTGCTATAAACTTCTTACATTGCTTTAAATCTAATGTCTCATCTTTTCTTTCTTCTTCACATTTCTTAATTGATATATTATTTAATAAAGGTATTATTATACTCAAAATAAATTTTCTTAATATCTGTACATTCTATTCATCATTTGTGCCACAAAATTTGTAATTCCTTGTAATAATGTGCATATTTTGACCAATCCTAATCATGTCTTTATAGTTGTCAAATCTCTATTTTGCATTGCCAATTGAAATTGATCATATCTCAAATAAAGATCATCCAAAGAATAAACTACTCTCTTATGAATGCCTCTACAAATTCATCTACAATTGGACTTGAACTTATATTTCTAATAGTTATTTTATTTATCAATTATATATCTTAAATAAACCTCAATGTCTTATTTTTCTTAAATATTCTAAACCATCAATTCGAATATGGTGCAATAGATGGTTTTAAAACTTCCATCCTAATCTTGTCATTGAATAATTTGATTAGTTTTGGGAAATAGTCTTTTAGAACTAGAATTTGCCTCAAATTCCATGATTCATGTGGAAATGTAAAAATAACCATAGATGCTATAATATTTGAATCAATGCACCCTATCTCATGTGATTCAAATGCAAATATCTTACTATATCATAAAAGCAATTCTTTGAAATATCTCTCTTCATCTTTTGTCAAAAAATTCTCACACCTAACTTTCAAACTATCTAATGTGTTAGGGACATAATCCTTAGAACCTTCTAGAGACAAGTTTCTAGAACCTTCTAGAAGCAAGTCTCTGGAACCTTCTAGAAGCTTCCTAGTTGGTAGAAGTTGCTTGAGAAGCTTCCTAAATAGAAGTATATATTGGAATCGAGGCTGAAGAGTTCTTCAGTCTCGACAATACATCTCTTAGAGCTCTAGCTCACCTCTCTGGTGTTGTTCTTGTATTCATCTGATTAATCTAGTTCTTGCCAGTTCTTCTTGAACTTCTTGTTAGACCTCGAGTCTGTATTTCTGTGTCCATGACAGTTTGTCGAGACTTCACTCACCTCAGATATCAGAGCTAGTTTCTTCTTTGTTAGAGTGTGGA